CAAAAGATACCACATTATAAGACACCCGCCTGATGGCTAAATGTGACCCTTCTTCATCCTTCCTTTGCATTGTTTTATAGTACTTTTTACTACGTTGGTTTCTGTGAGATCCTGGAGTTGACTTGTCCAATTGGCTGTATGTAGTAGAAAATAGCATTTCTGAATCTGCTGTCCATAGCTTTGATATTATCTAGAACCTAGGTTCTTAACCTGTGGTCCACCAACTTCATGCGGGCCATGATGTCCTCACAGGAGGTCCGTGAAGGTTTGAAGAAATGTTACGATCTTTTGCAGTTAAAATAGAAAGAAAGAAAAGGGAAACAGAACAAAATCTTAATTTCCCTTGCTTGTTTCTTGGCTTATCTAACCTACCATGGGCATTAAAATCAAAACTAAAAATTGACTATGAAAATAGTTATTTGACGGCAAATAACTGTTTGATATTTCTGCACATGGTGAGAATATGAAGGTGAATGACGCTGAGTGGCTAAGAGACAGCATGTGACATTTCTTGCTGCTTGCACTAGAGGGGCTCGCAGCAGTAGAGAAGCAGAAGGTCATAGAAATATCCACAGATGGTACTCTGAAAATGGAGTTCAAAGAACAGTTCCTTCCAAATTTCTGAGCTCACCTGCAAGCAGATTTTCCAGAACTATTGAAGGGAGCTATGAAAGTATTGATGTCTTTCGTAACGGCTGCTTTCTTCTTTGGTCTGCAGACTAGAGACATAAAGTACCACTGTTTTCTCTGTGAACGGGATACAGTGGTGCCCCGCATAGCGATGATAATCCGTGCAGCCAAAATTGTTGCTATACGGATTCGTCGCTATGCGAAATAAAAAAAGCCCATAGGAATGCATTAAAACCCGTTTAAAGCTTTTTTGTGCACAGTGCTGTGGTTCAATCCTGGCCCCATACTTTATTCTTTATGACATTGTATAAAAATACTGTGCTAGAGAATTTATGCAAAGATAAGTAATGGTCTTGGTAAGAGACCTGCTAATTACAGTGGTGCCTCGCTTGACGAGGATAATTTGTTCTGTTCAAATCGCTGTTAAGCGAAATCCTTGTCAAGCGAAACAAAAAAGCCCATTGAAATGCATTGAAAACCGGTTCAGTGCATTCAAATGGGCAAAATACCTCAGCATCCAGCGAAGATCCTCCATAGGGTGGCGATTTTCGCTGCCTGCAAAGCGAGGAATCCGTCCTAAAACACAGTGGGGAGCCATTTTAAACAGCGGGTGGCCATTTTGAAGACCCGACAATCAGCTGTAAAGATCGTTGTTAAGCGAAAAATCGGTTCCCAAAGCAGGGAAACAATAGTAAAGAGATTTTTGCCTATTAAAATATCGTTTTGCGATCGCAAAAGTGATCGCAAAAACTTCATTGTCAAGCAATTTCCTCGTCTAACAAGGTAATCCTCAAGCGAGTCACCACTATATATGATAGGGGTTTGCTGCAAGTTCACAGTTTTTGACTGTAGAACATAGCAGATTCATATGAAGGATATTTTTTATTTATTTATTGAATTTATAGTCCACCCATCTAGTCAACTGACTACTCTGGGTGGCTAACAACATATAATATAACCAATTTAAAATATAAGAACAAAGTAACACATCAATAGACAGTACTCAAGATGGAAGAAAAAAAGTAAATCAAGTAGGGGCTGGAGGGAAGGCTTGCCTAAACAGCCAGGTTTTCAATTGGCCTTTAAAAATACCCAGCGAAGGGGCCATACGGATCTCAGAGGGGAGGTTATTCCAAAGGCGAAGAGTCACTGCCGAGAAGGCCCGGTTTCTTGTTTTTTCCTTCCGGGCCTCCCTCGGTGTTAGGCTCCTCAACGTCACCTGCTGGCTAGATAGAGTGATACGAGTAGATTTAGTTGGGAGAAGACGTTCCGCCAGATATCGAGACCCTAAACCGTTTAGGGCTTTATACGTAAGCATTAGAACTTTGAAATCAACGCGGAACAGAACAGGCAGCCAGTGTAAGGCGGCCAGAGTGGGAATTATATGTTGATGTTTCCTCACCCCACTAAGAAGTCTGGCCGCCACATTCTGCATTATTTGGAGTTTCCATATCAATCTCAAAGGTAGCCCCATGTATAGAGCATTACAGTGGTCTATGCACTCGTAATCTCAAGTGCATGGACCAGAGCGGTGAGCGACCCAACATCTAGATAGGCAATCCGCAAAAGGTGAGCGACCCAACATCTAGATAGGGACGTAGCTAGGCAATCCGCAAAGGATGGAAATAGATGGTGCGGGCCACGGACACCACCTGGGATTCCATGGTAAGCACCTGGTCCAGAAGGATCCTCAAGCTGTGAATCTTTGCAGTGAGAGTCACCCCCCCAAAAGAGAGGGAGTTTCCCAAACCGCTGATGGTAGGTCTGCCCACCCTCGACCTCCGTCTTGTCTGGGTTCAGCCTCAGCCCATTTTCTTGCATCCATTGCAGTGCAGACCCCAAACAGCACTGCAGGGACAGAACGGCATCCACTGTAGTTGGAAAAAAGGAGATGTAGAACTGCGTGTCATCTGCATATTGATGGCACACCGCTCCACCCTCCCTGATGACCTCACCCAGCGGCCTCTTATAGATGTTAAAGAGCATTGGGGAGAGAGTCGAGCCCTGCAGAACTCCACAATTGAGGCTCCTTGGGGCCGACTCACTTTCCCCAAGCTGAACTCTCTGAGGACGCTCCCCAGGAAGGGAGTCAGGCCAATGCCAGGCCACCAATTCCCAACTCGGAGATCCTTCAGGTCGACGGTATCAAAGGTGGTTGAGATATCAAGGTGGTTTTTCCCGTTGGCCTCCCTCAAGAGGTCATCTAACAGGGTGACCAATGCCGTTTCTGTACCATGGCGCGGCCTGAGGCCCGACTGGAACGGATCCAGGGCATTTGTTTCCTCCAAGTGCGCCTGAAGCTTATTGGCCACCACCCTCTCAACCACTTTGCTAATGAAAGAAACATTGGCGACGGGCCTGTAATTGCCAATATTGTCTACCGCCACATTGAGTTTCTTTCTAATGGGCCTAATGAGCATCTCCTTGAGGGCAGAGGAAACCCTGCCCTCCCGGAAAGACCCATTAATTATCCCTGTGGCACTTTCAGTTGTTGTGGGCCTGGCTGCTTTGATTAACCAGGCCGGCAAGGATCAAGAGAGGAGGTGGTGGCCCGACAGCGAACCAGCACCTTGTCCACAATGTCTGGCGTCACAGACTGAAAATGATGAAAACTCACTGGGCAAGGTGGAGCGCTGGACATCTCTGCTCGATCCACTATCGCCAAAAAAGAAAGCTCCTGGCGGAGGGCCTCCACTTTAGATTTAAAAATCCTGCTTGTTCTGAAATATAGTAGTCCAAAACAGTTTTATTTAAAATTATGGACGTGCAGATTAGTGAGATGCTAAACAGCAGTGGTGACAGAGTTGTTGTTAAATTTAAGATTAATTTATTTCTTCACTCCAAATTTGAAGACCATTCATGAGAAATTTTAAATAAATATTCGATGCACATAGGTTTTAAATCTTTAGTCAAGTCTTGATGATCCATGGAAACAACAGATATTGAAAGGGGGGGCATGGTAAAGAAAAGGTTAAGAACTGCTATTCTAAAAGTCTGCTTTTTCTTCCAAGACCACATTACTATGCGTCCCAACATTGTTCCATGCCTATAGCATGATTGTTGAATTAATCTCACACCTATTTTCTCTAGGTGAAATATCTACAGTCTTTTTACCAGACAGGCAATCAAGTCTCTATGAGCAATAGGTGAAAATTCTGTTGCTTAGCATAGTAAGTGACAACCAGAGTAAGTCACCAAATCAATGGAAGTAATAGACCAGTTGAGTCACCAAATTCCCACTGATTCAATGGGTTTACTCTAGTTTCCACTTACAGTGCTAAGCAACATAATTTCAAGTATGATATCTATCACGAAATCCACCTCTGTATCTACTGAATCTTTCATTATACAAGACCATGGGATAACAGCATGTTCTCCATATAAATTCATCATACAAAAAAAATCAGCCCCCTTTAAGGCATTCTTCCCATTAGATGTCTATCCTGTACTGAGATTCTCAACCTTTATCGATAGATAGATAGATAGATAGATAGATAGATAGATAGATAGATAGATAGATAGATAGATAGATAGATAGATAGATAGATAGATAGATAGATAGAGTACAGCCAAATTAAGTTTTAGGGCAGAGGTAAATTTGAACTGGTGTAATCTCATTTACATTGAGATCTCATGCTTTTAATTGGTGAATTGTTACTCTGAAGTGTCATAAAGCTATCATGGTCATACCATGCTTATTTCACTTCTCCATAAATTTTTATTTAGTTTGTTTCTTGCTTGCAATATTTCCTGTTTGGTGAACAGTAGTAGGTTGTGACCTGTCCTAATTTTGTATAGATAAACAAGGAATGAAAAATGAAGAAGCCAATTTGCAAAGAGTTTTGGGGAAAAAAAACATAGCCATCAAATATGTGCTTCTATGGGTCCCTCTAGTGGTGCGTAATAAGAATAGCACAGCTCTTAAAAGAAACCTGTCTTCAAGCAGAATTGCTCTATCTAGTATTCATTATAAATCATAAGATTGTTTATGGTGAAATTCAACAAGTAAATCTGATGTACGCTATATTTTCCTTTGAATTGTACGGTTTTTATGACTTTCTGTTCAATTCCGTTGTATTTGTATTTGATAGCATTTGTTTGAAAGGTTGACTGATTGTATCAATTGTAGCATTTTAAAAAAGCTCTAGAACATGTTATGTTGCAGTTCAGATTTTTCCACAACATGACAATTCTTGCAGATCGAGGTGTGATGAATAAGGGGCAAGAATGAGTGCTAGATTGTTCAGTGTTTTATTATTAACTAAGTGCTGCTGATTCTCTGGACATGATAAAAACTACATTAATCAAAATCAGACTGTATGTTTTTCCTACTGAGAATGCTATCAGTGTTTTTATTGATTCTTCCTTAGGAAAAAAATGACTCCATTAATGTATGCAGCCCGTGAAGGCCATCCTCAAGTTGTTGCTCTTCTTGCTGCTCATGGATCAGAAATAAATGTCCAAGATGAAACTGGTTACACCGTAAGCTTCTTGTATAATAATTTGCTCCTTTGCTCTTTTCTGCACATACAGTGGTGCCTCACATTACAACATTAATTCGTTCCAGCGAAATCACAGCAAAAATAAAAAGCCCATTGAAACGCATTGAAACCCCTTCAGTGCGTTCTAATGGGCGGGAAACTTACCGTCCAGCGAAGATCCTCCATAGGGCGGCCATTTTCGGTGGCTGTCTTGTGAGGTATCCGTCCCAGTAAACAGTGGGGAGCCATTTTATTAACCCGGCGGCCATTTTGAAACCACCGATTAGCTGTAGGAAAATCGTCGTTTTGCGAATAATCGGTTCCCGAAGCAGGGAACCGATCATCACAAAGCAAAAAACCCCTATTCAGACCATCGTTTTGCGGTTGCAAAAGCAATCGTAAAAACGTAATGCAGTTTCGTTGTAATGTGGGGCAATCATAGAGCGGGGCACGACTGTATTCTAAGAATCACAAGGCAGGCTTCAGACACGTCCAAGATTTACATTGAACTACTAACATGTCTTACTGTGCAAAAAAAGGGATTCCTTTTCACTACTGCCCATTAGCTTTTGGATGAGGGCTGAGGGAAATGGTTCTTGCCCATTTTTTGCTGCTGTCTGTTAAATACTATATAAAAATGAGTACATATCACAAATCCTGACTTTGTATTAAAAGAATTCGTATGTGGCCAAGGTCAAGGAAAGGAGATTAACGGCCTTTTAGAATAGTATTGGATTTGCCATCAATGACTATAATGTGAGTTGGAAGTCAGTGGCCACCACCTTCTTTAGGCTGCACAGACAGAAATGCTTTTCTGCCTCCACAGCCAATTTCCCACATTTTTCTCTCTCCCTCCCTCCCTCTCTTCCCCCATCCATGTGTGTGTTTTAAGGCTTGGGCAAAGAACAATTTTAAACTGAGATTTAACAAGCTGTAAGCACAATTTGCAGGCAAAGAGCATTCATTCAGTAGTAACATACCTGCTGAAATTACTTTTCAATTTGAATTGTGAAGGGATTATTGCTAAAACAGGTAATAAATCATTGCAGGCATTAACATGGGCAGCACGGCATGGACATAAAAAAGTAATCTTCAAGTTGCTTGAACTGGGGGCTGATAAATCGATACAAACAAAAGATGGACAAACATCAGGAGACATTGCAAAGAAAAACAAGCATTCAGAGGTATTGGTAGATGTGGAATGTGTAGACTTGGTCTGAAATGTTTATATTCTCCTAGTTTGCTTAACTTTCCATGTACCTTAAGATACTTGCTAAACACTAGATAAGGTAATCATTTGTACTGAAAGTTGTGTGTTATGACTACAGAAGCCTTGTCTGTAGAATAAAATGCTTATAACTGTCTTTTGTCCTCCATATTCTGTTGGTATTCTTAGGAATAATTTATCAAACTGTATATCTTCATTGCTACCTATTGCAGTGTATATTTAGACATTGAATAATGTTTCTGTCAGTGAAAATTTCTATTGAAATGATTAGTTATAGTACTGTAAATCTGAATCAGTGACTACAATCTGCCCAGAGGATGAAAAACTGAAAGCAAATGTATTTTAAAGCTTCCTTTAAACTCCTTAACAACTAGGTAAGCCTGTTTCTGCCAGTCAGTCCAAGGTGTGACAGCCAGTAGAAATCTGTCAATCTCCAATGCATTATTTGGTTTATTTGTGAAATAGCTAAGCAGAAGGAAGTTTGGAAACAGTGACTTGCTTTTAAAATAAAAATGTCTAAACACAATAGCAAACTATACATTTCAAGATCTTAAGAATAAGTCACAACATATATTTCAGAAGGAGGCTCTAAAAATGAGGCTCCCCTGCCTCTGAGGCAGGAGCAATCATCAGGGACTAAATAAACAATACTGTACTATTTCTGTGGGGCCTGGTCAGTTTCCTGATAAGGAAATTCAGGCTGATCCCTCAGTAACCTTTGATGGGCCCCAGGCAGGTTAATTTCTGCAGTTTCTGTCTGAGCAAATTGAAGGGTAAAGGTCAGCTTTGAAATATTCATAGATGTAAATTTTAGAGCCTCCAGAAGTCATGCCTAAGCATGCTCTGTGTTCAGAGAATTTCAGTGAAGGGGACATGGAGGGATGTTTTTGAGAGTTTAGGGCACAATCTGTTTAAAATGGATTGTACAGGCCAAAAAAAGCCCTCTCTCAACCTATTAAGCTACATGGCTTATTGATAAAGCTGGAGGGAATTAAATTCTTGGTGGTGGTTAAAATTCCATATGTTTCTTTGCCTGGTATGCTGTATCTTTAAGAGGCAGTGACCAGAATTCTGCTGTATATTTTTGCTGGCATGATGCCATCAACGTAATGTCCAGTGGTGAACTGCTGCAACTTGATGTGTGATAGTTTATGTCTATACCAACTTCTTAACTTGTAGGAAGTTGCCAATGAAAGTTACCCACCCAGGTGGGTGTGACCAATAGGATTCTGGTCATTGTGAATATATACTCTTAAATTAAATACTCTTAAACTCTGAATAAAAAGACATTTTAAAGGGTACATATTCTAGTAAAAGCTTTTCTGCTTGGGTTTAGAGGGCACAGTTCAGTAATATAAATGAGTTATAGTTGAAAATGCTATTGGATATACCTATTTTTTCTAGTTGAAATAAGTACAATTTTAAATTATTCTCATAGCTTTTTAGCTTACTTTCTTTGACGGCAAATCCTTTTCAAGGAAGGTTCCAGTATCTACATAAAGATAAGGCTCTTCCTGGTCTTTTAAATGCTGTGCCTCATGCGGTGAAAAACCACAAAAACAGGTAATGAAATTGAGTATCAGTTCAAACTCAAAAAGATGATACACTTGTTTTTTCTCTCAGATAATACCATTCTCGTTTTCTCTAGCCAACATCATCAGTTTGAGCTAGAAATTAGGGGAGTTGTAGTCCAGCATAGTTGAAGGATGCCAGATTAGGGAAGACTGTATTTCAGTATAAAAGGTTTGTCCACTGTACATACAGGTTTAAAGAGTACAACTAACTCTAAGTGACCCCAGGCATTCAAGAGAGGAGCCCCCCACCCCAAGGGCCCCTAGAGCTTTCAAGGGAGAATCACAGACACAGAATTTCTTAGGGAGAGTAAGGCCACATCCCTGTTGGTTACAGGAGCAGTATCTGTGGCTTAGCATTGGGAATATATCCAGAACATTTGGAGGCCCAAATGTCAGCTGAGTGATGCCAGCAGTACCTAGCCTCCAGCTGAGTTTAACCCAGGAGTGGCCATCCAAGTATGGCTCCCTGTCCCTTGAGGGTGAGCCTGGACCGCCAACTACTGAGCAAAACCTGACCATACCTCCCCCTCCACCCACTTAACAGAATTCCCACAAATAGTGTGTAGGTAGGTTTACACCTTCCGTATCCACTCCTGGATGAAACTCAGTGTCCCACCACCACCAAATTGTGACAAAAAATCATTAATATGAAAATGAAAATTTTAAACTTCATTTTAAAAAGCCCTACTAACTGCAGCAAACAAGCAAAACCCCAGCATGCAGACTCTTGACAGCGCACATGGGAAGTCCCAGAACAATAGAAGTGTCTATAGCACAAACTGGCTTCTGTTTAACTAAAAGGCAGGTATACCAAGGTAAAGCCTGTTTTGGTCAAACTGCCCTGTGTCTGCCGTCCTTGCTTTGCCAGCCATTGGCTAGAAGAATGGCATAGCAGTGTACCTCCCAGTGTTCCCAGTCCCATATCAGAACACTAACAAGGCTGCCATGCTGCTCATCAGCCAGCTACATGACATTATCATTCTGGATCATTGCAACCAAGCACCACATGAGGTTCAGGTAAATCTGAGCCATAGCATTTTGCCTACACAAGAAATGTTCTTAGGTCTGGGACTAACACGGTAATGCAGTTTTATTGTAATTCTCTTTTCAGTATTTAAAATATCTTGGTTAAGTATACCCTTGTTCCTGCTGCAGCCTTTTAGCATGATCAATCTGAGCTTTTGATGCCTATATAGGAGGAAACGTTTCTTGGCATTCAGAGGCATGTACTGCATTGCAAACATGCATAATTGTCATTTGTCAGCAGGTGCAGAATTACTGCAGAATTTTTGGACTCTATTTTCCTAGAAATTGTTGCTTTGACAGACACAAAGAAAAAAAGTGTGTCTGAGCCTTTTAAACTTTCTGATATAATTTAAAAAAATTGATCCTGTATGCTCAAAGTGATAATATAAACAACTTTTTGTGCAATTTTTAAAATTTCTGATACAATTAAAAATTTTGATCCTGTATGCTCAAAGTGATAATATAAACAACTTTTTGTGCAGATAAGATATTCTGCTATAAGAAGTTACTGACCCATTGGTGTTTATGTCCCCACTGGAAGAGATAAAAGCTATTTGCCTCTTTGGATTTTCATCCCAAAACAGGATCTGGGTTGTCCACTTCTCTGTATGATGGGTCTGAGGACTGTAGGTAAAGAATTTTTTGATTATGAGGTGGTTTTAACAAGATAATCACCCCACTGATTAAAGAAAAAAAGTAGACTTGAGTTTCTTGATACAGACTCTAAGATCACTTATCAAATAGCCAGATCTGGAATGGCCTCGGAAATTCCATGGTAACTAGATACTAGATTTTAAATTGTGTTTTAAATGCCTTTTTTTTTTTTTTTACGAAGTAGCTGGAATTTTGAAATGTTATGGTTGCTAGATACTAGATTTTAATGATCTTTTAATGTCAAATGTTTTTATAAGGTATTTCAATTTTGGAAACTGTAAATCTCTATGTTTTTCCCCTGTGTGATTGATCTAAGGACCGTAACAATAAACTGTACAGTGGACCCTTGACTTACAGACGACTTGACTTACAGACTTTTTGACTTGAGAACCGCCTTCCAATACGGATTAAGTTCTCAAGTCAAGACCCCACTGTATTCTGTATTCATACCAAAACAGAACATTGATATGAAAAACCTGAATGCCTGTATAATTATGCAATAGTGTATCTTGCTTTGAAGTATTTACTTTTTATTCTTATTACAAAGATTTGATTTACACCTATCTTCTAATTGCTTGAATTTTTATAATAATACAGTCTATTTGTTTACATAGTTCTTACACAGCTTTTGGTGACATGGAACTGTTTTTACATGGTCTTGGGCTGGAACACATAACAGAAATACTAAAGGTGAGGGTTCTTTACTGAAAATGCAAATGTATAACTATGTGTTTTTATTTAACATAGTTACTTCATAACATTGATGCTAGAATTTATTATTCAAATTGCATTTTAATAAATTAGGAGATTGATTCTCATACATCAGAATGCAGCACTGTAAGTATCTAGAGTAATTTTTCACTGTAGAATCCACACAAAGCTAGACCTACAATGTAAGGTTTCTATGCATTTGCCGTATTGGGTGCTTTTTTCCTCAGTATAATGTTTTGTGGCAAAAAAGTTATCCCACATTTGCTTGATTATAATGTTTGCTTGATTATGATGCAGAAAAGGTGGTTTGAGTGTTTGGATGAGAGACCTTTCTTTTCCCTGCCCACACAGGGAAAAACTGGAAATAATTGAAACTTTAAGGTCTGCTGCTGTAAGGTCTGCTGCTTGCACAGGGAAAAACTGGAAATAATTGAAACTGTAAGGTCTGCTGCTTTAACTAAGGTTGCAACTGGCCCTGTTCATGAAAGGGACTATTGCAATTAGTTGCTTTATAGGTGGGGAAAGAAGAGCTAAAGATTTCAGGGGAGAAGGAGAATAAATCTCTGGCTTTGCCATTAACAGAGAGCATAGTGTTTGTATATAGGTAAAGGTTCCCCTTGACAAATGTCCAGTCGTGTCTGACTCTAGGGGGCAGTGCTCATCCCTGTTTCCAAGCCGTATAGCCAGTGTTTGTCGATAGACAGTTTCCATGGCCACATGGCAAGCGCGACTAGACATGGAACGTTGTTACCTTCCCACCAAGGTGGTACCTAATCTACTCACATTTTTACATGCTTTGCTATAGGAAGCTGATGATCAGCGCCCCAATTAGCTCCAGGTCTTGTTTTTGCTGACTGTATAGAGCTTCTCCATCTTTGGCTGCAGAGAACATAATCAATCTGATTTCAGTATTGTCTACCTGGTGATTTCCATGTGCAGAGTCGCCTCTTTCTCTCTCTCTCTCTCTCTCTCTCTCTCTCTTTTTTGGCTCTTCAGTGTTTGTGATGACCAGCTTGTTCTCTTGACAAAATTCTATTAGCCTTTGCCCTGCTTCATTTTGAATTCCAAGGCCAAACCTACCTGTTGTTTCTTTTATCTCTTGATTCCCTACTTTAACATTCCAATCCCCTATAATGACAAAAACATCTTTCTTTGGTGTCAGTTCTAGAAGGTGTTATAGGGCTTCATAGAACTAGTCAATTTCAGCCTCTTCAGCATTGGTGGTTGGTGCATAAACTTGGTTTATTGTGATGTTGAAAGGTCTGCCTTGGATTCGTGTTGAAATCATTCTATCATTTTTGAGATTATTTCCCATTACAGCTTTTCCCACTGTTTTGTTGACTATGAGGGCTACTCCATTCCTTCTACGGGCTTCTTGCCCACAATAGTAGATATGGTAATCATCTGAATTGAATTTGCCCAGTCCCATCCATTTTAGTTCACTGACGCCCAGGATGTCAGTGTTTATTCTTGCCATCTCCTCTTTGACTACATCCAGTTTACCAAGGTTCATAGATCTTACATTCCGGGTTCCTATGCAGTATTTTTCTTTGCAGCATCGGACTTTCCTTTCACTTCCAGGCACGTCCACAGCTGAGCGTCCTTTCGGCTTTGGCCCAACCACTTCATTAGCTCTGGAGCTACTTGTCCTTGTCCTCCACTCTTCCTCAGTAGCATGTTGGACGCCTTCTGACCTGAGGGGTCCATCTTCCAGCATCATATCTTTTAGCCTTTTGTTTCTGTTCATGAGGTGTTCTTGGCAAAGATACTGGAGTGGCATTGCCAATTCCTACTCCAGGTGGATTGCGTCTAGTCAGAACTCTCCACTATGACCTGTCTGTCTTGGGTGTCCCTGCACGGCATAGCCCATAGCTTCTCTGAGTTACTCAAGCCCCTTCGCCATAACAAAGCAGCAATCCATGAAAGAGTCCTATAAGACTAGCTGCCTTATATTTTTTTTTGTTATGCAAATCCCCAAATATTTGAAATTTGAATAACAAAGGTCTAAACCTTTTCTTTTCTTGATTTCTTTTTGTTACAGGATAGGAATATTTATGCATAGCAATTTAGATTTATCATAATTAATTTTTAATTCTGTATAACATTTGAATTCTTCCAATACAGTATTTGTTTCAGTGTTTCTATATTTTTCATCGGGGATTTTAGGAATAAAATTATATCATCAGCATATAAATTAATTTTATGCTATTTATTTCTAACCATTATTCCCCTAATATTAATATTTTTTTTCTAATAAGTACCATGAGTGGTTCTATGGCCAGTGCAAATATTAATGGAGACAATGGGTCTCCTTGTGTTCTTCCTCTATATCAATTTTTTCAGAGTCAATTCCATTTATTAGTGTTGAAGCCCTTTCCCCTTTGTATAGCTTTTTTAGAATGCTGATAAATGTTCAACCCATATTTATTTTTTCTAATAATTTAAACATATACCGCTATTCCACGCAGTCAAAAGCTTTGAGGGTGTCTAATGAGAACATTACTACCTTCTGTTTTTTTCTGATACAATATGTATAATATTTAATATCTTAGGAATCACATCCAACATGCGTCTCCCTAGCATAAATCTGTATTGGTCTCCATGAATATAATTTGTAATGAAGCTATTTACTCTTTGTGCCATAATAGATGAGAATATTTTTTTATCTTGATTCTGTAAAGTTATTGGCCTATACACAGATGGAGATGTAGTGTCTTTATCTTGTTTTGGAATAGCTATTATTCTCGCTTCTTTCCAGGGGTCTGGAACTTTTTCCCCATTCATTATTGAGTTACATACTTCTAATAAATGTTTGGATAGTTCCCCTGCCTTAACTAATCTGTTACTACAAATTTTGACTCTTTCATAAAAATTATAGCTACTCCTCTTGATTTGTTCGTTCCCTTTGTAGTATATTGGTCTCCAAGAGATGAATGATTAATAATATTTGACCTCTATTTTCTCTTGCAACAAAATAACATTGGCTTCCAAACTAAATATTGTTTTCATTACTCTATACCTCTTTGCTGGTGTTCCTAACCCATTTGTGTTGAAAGAAATTATATTGAGATTATCTACCATTCTACTCTTTAAGCTTACAAACTAGATCACTATTATTCTTCTGACTTATTTTGATACACATCATATCTATATGCTTGTCTGTTAAGTGCTCATCGTGTAACCATGCAAAGCAGGATTGTATTCATAGTCTCCCCTCAATTTCCCAGTTCCTTTCTTGCCTCCCACCTTCCCTCCTGCTCCCTATCCTTCTTCCCCATCCGTTCCCTCCCCCACCCTCCCTCCCCC